TTTTACAAGCCGATAACCGATATATTGGCAAGCCGATAACCGATATATTGGCAAGCCGATAACCGATATATTTGCAAGCCGATAACCGATATATTGGCAAGCCGATAACCGATATATTGGCAGGCCGATAACCGATATATTGGCAGGCCGATAACCGATATATTGGCAGGCCGATAACCGATATATTGGCAGGCCGATAACCGATATATTGGCAAGCCGATAACGGATATATTTGCAAGCCGATAACGGATATATTTGCAAGCCGATAACCGATATATTGGCAAGCCGATATATAACCGTTATATTTGCAAGCCGATAACCGATATATTTGCAGGCCGATAAGCTATATATTGGCAAGCCGGTAACCGATATATTTGCAAGCCGATAACCGATATATTTGCAAGCCGATAAACGATATATTTGCCAAGCCGATAACCGATATATTGGCAAGCCGATAACCGATATATTGGCAAGCCGATAACCGATATATTGGCAAGCCGATAACCAATATATTGGCAAGCCGATAACCAATATATTGGTAAGCCGATAACCGATATATTGGCAAGCCGATAACCGATATATTGGCAAGCCGATAACCGATATATTGGCAAGCCGATAACCGATATATTGGCAAGCCGATAACCGATATATTGGTAAGCCGATAACCGATATATTGGCAAGCCGATAACCGATATATTGGCAAGCCGATAACCGATATATTGGCACGCCGATAACCGATATATTGGTAAGCCGATAACCGATATATTGGTAAGCCGATAACCGATATATTGGCAAGCCGATAACCGATATATTGGTAAGCCGATAACCGATATATTGGTAAGCCGATAACCGATATATTGGCAAGCCAATAACCGTTCACAAAAAAAAATTCAAGTCTCACTATTAAAAGCCACAAACAATGTTCTCATTATAATTGTATAGCTTATATCACTTGTGCTGCACTTTTTGAAAAGATTTCAATCATATTTATTATATCATGTAAAATAATATCATGTCATAATCATATTAGCTGTAAAAAAAATTTAAAAAGCTGTTGTTTAGCAGTCAACTAATGAAAAATAAGACCGTTTCAAGCACGTTATCCCTTTAGAATGCCTTTAATAAGTCAATTTTGAAACACTCAAAATGGTTATCGGTATCGGGCGAAATGCGTAATATCGGTGCATCCCAACTCGCAACACTATTCAAAAGTTGTTTCAACCCCGTTACATTATGTTTGGAATTCATATAGGCTAAAATATGAAGTTGCAGTCTTATTCAGCTAAATTTTGTGTGCAAAAGAGACCGATAGTGTATCTGCAGTGTATCTGCGCAATCTGCATGAAGAACTTATACATGCATTCAAGAAGCCTGTCGTCGGTGTAGCCTGTGAATATACGAGCACGAATCACAGCACGTCTCCAGAGACCCGGGATCTCGTTACTGATGTTCAGAGCGAGCTCATTGTATTCAGATAAGGCCCTCAGCGAAGGGGCCCGTCAGGGTTCGGCCCGAGACACCCAGCACACCCCGACTGCCCTCTCGGCCCCATGTGGAATGTGTGGATGAGCGAGGCCTCGGGAAGGCAAATCAGGACACGGTGCAAAAATACAGCTGTGCGCGTCATCGGGCCCTGGACCCCGGCCAAACCAAAGACAGCGCTGTTACAGGCATGCACGGACACACACACACACGGAGAAACACGGCCTTGTGTGCGCTGTGAGGACGCTCGATGCACACACCACCAGAGAAAACTGCACCCGTGCAACTTCATTTATGAAAAACAGTGGACGGACAGACAGGAAAAATACACTAAATATCAAATCAAGTCGAGTCTCCTGCACTTTTACAGCGGTTCACAGCAGCTTTACAGTGATAAACAGGAGATTACAGGCACAGAGAGTGTTTGGGCTTTACAGCAGATCTGGAATAGAGTTATTGTCCAGATAAAGTTAGATTTGATTGATGCACTTCCGTTGCAGAGATCGTCAGTTAATGCAGAATAATAAACAATGCAACTAATCACAGTCATGCATTTATTCAAAGCGACTAACAAAAGAGAAGAGGAGAGATCAGATATCACAAAACCACATGCACATTATTTATACAGGAAAAATGCATAATAATAGGGCTGCACGAATATGTATCATGGATCTAATCATTCATCGCAGCAATTACAAAAAAAAAAAGTGTGTGTTTAAGATTGTGTCTCTTAAGTTTTTTCCCCCCATTGTTTTTATTTTAGTATAACATTATAATACCATGCATATTTTTTTACTTTGGTTTCTTTAAATAAATAAAAACGTATATTTGACATTTAATGCTATAGAAAAGCAATAAAGGTTTTTCTGGAAGAGTGTTATCAGCTTGTTGATCACTATTCAAAACATAATTAAATGTGGAAATCGTAATTTAAACTTTCAAGGCAATATTTGATAATTATGATTTTTGTCATAATCGCGCAGCCGTACATAATAATAATCAATGCAACTAATCATAGAGTTATGCATTTATCCAAAGCGACTCCCAAAAGAGGAACGTCCAAGGCCAGGTTTGTTGGAGGAGAGCAAGTGAAATCACACACACACACTCGACTCGGCACATGCGAACAGCTCTGAAACCACATGTTTCCCATGTGCAAAGCGTGTGATCACATGACGGTGGGAAGTTCATGTGTTTTTTCTTTATTTTGTGGATGCATCGTGAATAAACAGACTTGCACAAGAGAGGAGAAAACACTTCCCATGTCTTCAGTTGCCGATGCGAAACACTGAGTTTCCAGTCAAACTCTAGAATATTAATCTGCTTTATGGTTATGCAGAAGATCGTCTCATTACTGGGTTCGTGCAGCAGATACTGGATGAAATTACAGGACTTTTCACTTTGGCTTTCAAGGACTTCATTCAGAGATCTCACTTATCAAACAATATTTTATCATCTTTCAAATTCCAAAAAAGAAACAAAAATGAAACAATAGAACAAGTGAACAATGACTAGTAACATTAACCCTTGACACTGTAAAAATGAATAAGCTCAATAAAATTGAGGCAACAGATTACAAGCAATATTATTAATTAAATTGAACTAAATAGAATTGAGTAATAATTACACAAATTAATTCCTTAAAAAGTTAAACATTATAAATGAGTAAGGTTTACAACCAAAAATATCTGAATAACAGACAGATGTCAAAGATTAATTAAGAACTATTTATATTATATTTCCAACATTGAAGACACCTGATGTTAACAAGCAGAATCACTGAAGGAGAAAACAAAACACCGATCACCATAATGGTGACTTAAATGTACGTTTTTTTGTAGATGTTGTAAGTTTTACTCATTTTAAATGGTTAAACTTTTAAGTAATTAATTTGATTAATTATTACTCAATTCTAATTTGTTAAACTTAATTAATAATATTGTTTGGAATCTGTTGCCACAATTTTTTTGATTAGATAAAGTGTATTCGTGTATTCGATACCAAGACAAATATCTTTTTTCAAGCTGATTTTGTCCCATGAATATATGATTGAGCTGAAGAATGAAAGCTTTATCATATACATGAATATTAATGATCAATATCACACTCATAACCATGTGAAATGCTCTTTATCTATATCAGACGGGGTGCAGAGTTCATTCTGAGTCAAAATATTGTTGTATCGTTAAAATAAACACTAATTTCACATATAGGCCTATTGTCTTTTCAAGTACATATTTATAAATATGGCCTTACATTTCAAATTCAAGCACTTGTATGAACCCTGTAATTAGACAAACGGCAACATCAGACATGTTTGTTGATATGATATGCCCTCATACTCAAAAACCATCAACAGAAGGTCACAGAAAACACACTATTTAATACAGGTTCACATTGTGTGACCACAGAGGAAACCAACGGACAAATATCCCGATAGCTTGAGATAGCCACTATAAATAAGCTCGCGAAGGCCGCGGACACTTATTTAAGATGATATTCACCGTCTTCATATTCAGCACATTTGCAGGAACAGCTGGTGTGTGTTTTACAGCGGTGTGTGTGGCTCGAGCATGGCCAAAAGGCTTCTCTCAGAGAAGAATATGACACTATTCTGATGAAATGACTCACAGTGCACACATTAAATATTTGTTAGATATTATCTAGACCGAGAGAGCAATCGTATTCAGGAAATGCCATGGATCACATGTTAGTTTCATAGGAAAGGAGGCATTGTGCACAGTCACATGTCTTGGAAACAAGACACACACACACACACTTCATGTGGCTATACACTCTCTCTCCTCTGACCAAACTTCCTTTCTCTAATTTAGTCATCCACTGAATAATCTTAAAGCAACAAACCCTCCAATCTAAAGCAAGAACACACACCGGCCTTATCAAACCGTTAGCTGGTTTATCTCGGCCCGTGGCCCCTGTTCATGTGGTTTCAGAGTGGAAAATGACATCCGGTTTCAAAGAACACTGAAATCCACTGCTGAGGATTCATGCTACAATGAACTTCACTTATGAATAAAAAAAGAGATACGGTCACAGAATACAAAATCTGTTTTTAACAGTCAAGAACTCCAAGTTCCTTCAGAGAACATCACTGCACATGCCCCCAAAAATGCATGAGAGCATATTCATGTTGCCATAATACAGTATTTAACAGGCACAGCTTGTCAAGCAAAAGTGCAAACAGTGTTTGATTGATTGCCTGCAGTGTGGCCATCATCATCATAATAAACTCACAACAAAACACATCCCACCTGCATTCCTTCACTGCCACAGTTCTAGATATTATTTTAAACAAGTTTCATCAGCCTGAACGTGAGACATTACGATTAATAAAGCAAGTTTCAGTGCCACTACTAAACATGATCCTCATCAGTGTAACGTTAAATGCTGCTGTACACTGTGAATCACAGAATATATGAAGTAGAAATAAAAATATGGCCCCATATGCGTCATGCAGTCAGAACTCAAACATGCAGCGTGTCCGATCTCATATTTACCCGGAGAGTCTCTCCTTCAGTCGCGGGTGTCGCGCTGGATGTGAAGAGTTTCCAGCGGGTCCCCGTGTGTGTGTGTGTGTGTGTGTGTGTGTTCAGACAGACTGTCCTCACCTCCACTGCTGTCTGTCTGTCTGTCTGTCTACAACAACAGCGATCTGCCCATCTCTCTCTCTCTCTCTCTCTCTCTCTCTCTCTCTCTCTCTCTCTCTCTCTCAGTTCAGGAAGTGATTTCGCGTTCAGTCTGACATCATTCTCCAGCGCTTTCAGGAGTTTTTAAAGACACAGTCGGACCGTCCCGTACAGTTCATTTCTACGAACAATACATCAAAAGTAACAATTCAAGCGCTTATATAAAGGATAATGTACAGGCAGATTGGTATTATCGCAGAATAAACTCTGATTGATCTCATCTGGTGTAAGTGATAGCACCTTAAAGACACCATGAATTCAAAATGGCTGTATTGCCACCTTTACTGTTAACAAGTCTTTTCCAAATCGACAAAATTCGTATTTAGAAAATAAAAGCATTCTAAACTGGATCAGTGATCATTTTGATGATATCAATCTGCACCGTCCAATCAAAGCTCTCCATAAGCAGAAGCTCCGCCCCCTCCTGTATTATAAACTGAAGCTGAAATCGGTCACTTGTTCACACATTTACTATTTTCTACATGGTGAATGGCACACTTGATAGGGAATGATTCAGACAGTGTAAATATGCTTTCTATCGGGCTCATGAAGTCTGGACCGCCGCGAAACACAGAGCGGATCATATGATCGAGTCGCCGCAGAACAGAAAACATATCGCACTGATTTGAATTCTACACAGAATGATAATTTAAAGTGATACGGAGAGATTAGGAGAAAATTAAGGCTCTGAGAAAAAAAAAACGCAATTGGCTATTTTTAAAAGGGGGAGGAGCTAATTCATACGCCCCGCCTTGTTTTTCCGTTTCAGTCGAAATTACGTCAATAATGCTGCACGTTTAAAGGCACTTCAGTGGGACTTTAAAGACATCTTTTTCATCGTTTAGCTAGGCCTATAATGAATGAGTGTGTCATGGATTGCGAGCCCGTTCTCATCCCAAAGCGCCATATAGGACGCTTTTGCAAAAGCGTAAAAATCCAACGCACATGGCACCCTTTAGCGTGAAATGGGACGCAGATATATTTGGGCAGAAGGCGCCCCCTAGTGGTCTAACCCTTACCCTACACCTTACCTAAACTTAACCCTAACCGAAGCGACTAATTAGACGTTAAAGGGTGCCATGTGCGTTGGATATTTACGCTTTTGCAAAAGCGTCCTATATGGCGCTTTGGGATGAGAACGCGTTGGGATTGCAGAACGTGTATTAATTAATAATGTAATGTATTAATTTTAATAAATTAATTTGCCAAAAACAATGTAAAAATTGTTTGAAATTAATCAGCGATACATCAAATACATTTTAACAGTCACTGGTTGCCATCTACATGGTGCAACAATTGCTGCATCCCAATTCGCCTACTTACACCATGCCCCAACATTTTGTACTGTTTAAGTATATACTTTTGAGTAGCAGAAGAGTATAGGCAAAGTTTGGGATAAACTATAGGCTACTTCATCATCTTTAACTGACAGCGTTACGTGCTTAAACTGCCCTGTCAATCATTGTATCAGTTAAAATAACCACATTAAATTTAATTTAATTTCCTTGTGAAATGTAGTAGCATGTCATTTTTCTGACAGTCGCGGGTCTTTCATATGGAGACTCTCCTCATTTGTGTGCAATTTGCATACTAACACGTTTAAAAGTTAACGACTAAACGTATCATTACAAAAGTTCACTATGCTGTTGCAGATGAAATATAATGTGGAGAACTATGAATAAATATCTTTTTTTTTTTTTTTTTGTCAGATTAGATGCTGAATCACCCAAAACCCATTATCTAAACCTTTACTCCACCGTTGGACTCACGCATCCGCCATGTTTGTAGTTTTTGAACACTTTTTATTCGTGTTTGTAGTTCTAATCGAATCTTCATCCAAATACCCATCCGGGTATCCTTGGAATACTTATTTCACAAACTACGATTTGGGACACATTAATTCTAGATTCAGACTCGCTGGACACCCCGCGGGAATCGTGGCGTCGTGTAACGCCTCATGGACCCTGGACTCCACCCCCCAAGTAACCGTGGCAACCAACCGGCTGGGAGGCACAATGGCTACTGAGGAAGTGGATCTAGCCTCTACTTAAAAAACCGGTGAAAGCGCATCAGGCTTACCGTTCTTACTACCGGGACGATATGAAATGTTAAAATCGAATCGGCCGAAAAATAACGCCCAGCGAGCCTGTCGAGAATTTAGTCTCTAAGCGAAACGGATGTATTCTAAGTTCTTACGGTCAGTCCAAACTATGAATTGAACCCCCGCGCCCTCCAACCAGTGATGGCACTCCTCCAGCGCCAACTTAACAGCCAGAAACTCCTTATTCCTGATGTCATAATTACATTCCAAAGGAGTTAAACGATGAGAAAGAAAGGCGCATGGGTGTATTCTGTCGTCCGAAGGGGACCTCTGAGACTTAATTGCCCCCACTCCTTCCTCTGATGCATCCACCTCCACAATGAATTGACGAGACGGGTCACCACTGACCAGTGTTGGGTGTAACTAATTACTAAGTAATTAGTTACTGTAATTTAATTACTTCTCCCTTGAAAATGTAAAGTATGGGATTACTCTTAATTTATCTGTAATTTAATTACAGTTACTTCTGATGTAATTGAGGTAAATACTGTGTATAGATCGATCCGATCTCACAGCGATTCGTATGCATTTTATGAGGTGTCTAAATATTACGACCGCACTCGTACAAATTCGTATGAATTATTGTAAAATATGTATGAAAAAGTGTGAAATGTCATGAGATCAGACATAAAACAATAGTGGGTTTAACATCAAAATGTATGGTCTGATGCTAAAAAGTATGTTTTTATAATGTAACCTTCTCCTCCTTGGTCATTTTAAGGATAATTCATGCAATTTTATAGTATTTATTTGAAAGCATTAAAACAGATTCATGTCTATCCAGCTGGTTGAGATTGATATGGGACTTTGAAAGTAATTAGTAATTAAAAGTAATTAAATACTTTTTACAGAGAGTAATTAGTACAGTAATCTAATTACACTGTTGAAGAGGTAATTAGTAACTAGTAATTAATTACTTTTTTAGAGTAACTTACCCAACACTGCCACTGACACACCCTGACCCGTGACAATTAAAGGGTAACTAAACCCCTGGTCAGAGCCTGACTCCACCCACTGGCAATATTTGAAAAATGCTGGAAAAGTGGGCGGAGCCCAGCGGAGGGGTGCGTGCACCTGAGACGCATCTCTTGCCTACGTCACCAACAACCGCACCATCGCAAACACCCAATAGGAAAATTCAACTGCAGTAGCCACCGTTCAACCTGAAGAGGGCAGCACTAAGATGTTTTTACACCATATATTGTAGAAATAGAACACTTTATAAACAAATGCCATAAAAGTTACTCGAATCAATGACTGGTATTAAAAAAAAGATCCATTCTTACAGATCATTAACTAAAAAAAGTCGGTTAAGTGTTTAGTTACTCTTTGATCGTTTCACAGCTCTACCAGTATAACTTTTTTAGTGGATTTTAAGCACATTTTTGGTGTAAAATGTGCAAAAAAGAATGTAGTATTCTGTGCATGTCTTTAAACAAATTAGGACACAATTGTCTGTCTCACATTTATTATACATACACAGAAATTATAACCTCACACTCCAGCGAGATTAACACCATTTTATTCAGTGTTTCAATGCTGTTCCTGAGATGTTATTGACCTGTGCTACACCACCGCAAGCATCCGAGCGCGTCCGCAGTCGTAGATACGTGTCCCTCCGAGATTTGACACGGGTCACATTCCAGTTATTCGACATATGTACCAGTTCATCGAGTCATTGACCCTTCTGGCCTGAGCTCTCCGATGGCCCGTCTGAAACGTCACCGGTGTGAGCATGCTTGGCCAAGTATGAGGCATATGATGTTTGATCCTCAAACAATAGGAGATTGTGCTCACTCACTTTCCTTTCATGCCAGGCTGGCGCCAGTAACGGCACGCTAATGCAACACGGGGCATCAGACTCACGCTCCGATTGGCAACAGACAAATCATATAATCTGAACGCCGCAACTAAGTCCATTAGTGATAAAAATGAATAAAACACACAACATGCACACTCACAACATTTTTATTGAATGTTGGCTCAAATGTTGCATGCCGAAAAAACGAATCGATGAAGCATGTCTTGTATCACTTTTATTCACACGATCAGAACGTCACATATCAACAAAGACCATGAAACACCATCCCAGGCCTCCGATCAGAAACATGGTCACATGCATGCTGTATATGAACAGGTCATTGAGGATCCCGAAGTCCAGTCGCCGGTGACCCAGCAGGAGGAGGATGACGGACAGCTTGTACTGAAGGCGAAGGAAAATCCGCACGCTGACGTACTGAAGACAGAAGAGCGCAGACAGCGCCACCCAGAGGAGGGAGGTAAAGAGGCTGCAGCCGAAATACAGAAGGAACCGGATGAAGCTATACATCCATCGAGACTTCAGGTACAGGTCAAAGTTGTTGTATTTGGTGCGTACGAGCTGGGCGGTGCGCGCCGGGCCACAGGCGGAGTGCATGCAGGTGGTGTGAGGGCCGTGGAAGGAGCGAACCCTCCGTGGGATGGGGATGACAGGCATGGGTGGATTCAGGAAGGCCCACGGAGAGGACTCTTCCAGGAGCTCTGCATGTTGCAGGATCACGGGTACCAGCTAAAAGGCAGACGGATGTGAATGTGGCGTCGCTGTGACCGAGCGCATCGCTGCTCTCATCCCGTGGGAATCTCCATAGCACTGGAACTCTGCGGGAATAAACCAACAAAAACAAAGAAATGACGATTAGAGCTTAGGAGAGTGACCGTACGTCCAGGTCACGACTCGGTTCGAGACGCTTTGAACAAAGCCAAAATACAGTTACATTAGTTAAATACAAGAGTTACATTACAGTTACATACAGAGTTACATTGTATGTAACTCTGTATGTAACTGTAATGTTGTAACTGTATGTACCTGTAATGTAACTCTGTATGTAACTGTTGTGTAACTCTTGTATTTACTTTATACATAAACTGTATATATTACAGTTACATACAGAGATACATGACAGTTACATACAAAATTACATTACAGTTACATACAAGAGTTACATTACCGTTACATAAAGTTACATGACAGTTACATGACAAGTTACATGTAAGAGTTACATAAAAGTTACATGAAAGTTACATACAAGAGTTACAAGACAGTTACATTATAGTTCCATACAAGAGTTCCATACAAAGTTACATTACAGTTATAGTTACATACAAGAGTTGCATGACAGTTACATAGTTACATTATAGTTACATACAAGAGTTCCATACAAAGTTACATTACAGTTATAGTTACATACAAGAGTTGCATGACAGTTACATAGTTACATTATAGTTACATACAAAGTTACATTACAGTTACATACAGAGTTGCATGGCAGTTATATAGTTACATTACTGTTACATACAAGAGTTACACACAAGAGGTACATTACAGTTACATTACAGTTACATTGAGTTACATTAAAGGTGCACTAAGCGATGTCGGGTGACGTGACTTCTTGTTGACGTTTTTAAACAAAACGGAGGCTAGATAGACCCTCCCACCTCCTCATCTGCACTGACCCCCCCAAACCCCACCCCCAGGGCCTTCTTGTCAGTTATTGGCTGGAACAGTTTGTTTTTGTTGCCATAGAGTGCCGAAGTTACGACGTCACTCTGTAGGCCAAAACGCGGAAGTGAGTTAGCATTTTAGCATTACGGTTCCCTCGCTCTAAAGCCTTTGGGATTCTTGAATGGGTTTTTGCTAAATCGCCTGAAATAAGTTCTGTGGTGAACAAAGCCTCTAAATATTTTCACGTTTTGATCTATGACATAGAACACGCAGTTATAACCTGCTTGTGGTTATTGTGTCTGATTGTGTTTTTTAAAATCTTTATATAGGCTTCAAAATGTATACATTTTGGAATAACTTGTAAAGATTATCTTGCTAGACAAAACGTGTAAGGGTCACACCCCTTTGTTAAACACAGATCTTATTTTTTGCGATTTTCCAAAATGCTATGGGGAAAATGCACTGCTTTTCGACCAAGGGAACCCATGCGCCGCTAGCTTCCGAGTTGTCCTACAAAGTGACGTCATCACTTCGGCACTCTATTTGTGGAGCCTGGGTTGTCTGCAAAAATGTTTGGGCTTAAAAAACGTGACATCGCTTAGAGCACCTTTAAGGTTACATACAAGAGTTACATGCAAGAGTTACATTCCATACAGAGTTACATAATTTTACTAAGAAATATGATTCTCCTCTCACTGGAAACACTGAAGTTATGTGATTTTACAAAAATATCAATATGTTAACTTACATTTTCACAATTAGCTCTTGTACTGTATCTAACTTGAAAATACAAATGCAGTTCATTTGTCAACAAGGTCCGTTTTAAAAGAATTCAATGTTTCTTACTGCTTTAACGGTCTATTTTAATCTGGATAGTCTAAACATATTATTATACTATTTAAAGCTGTTGATGATATTAACATTTCCCCCAGTTTTTTAGATTTCTTGAACCCGTTCAGCATCAGCCGTAACCATGTCTGTTAAGATATGATAAATTATTAGATTTTTTAGTTTAGTTTTCCTCGTGTTCTCCCAATAAACTGGACCATTATACCAGCGGTTGCTCTAATTTCTATTAGCATTGGCCAATAAAAAGCTCTATATTGATCAACTAAATGATAATGTATAAACACAATAACCGTTTCATTTCAATTTATAAATGTTACTAGAACGTTGAGAGAACATTCACACGTAAAATCTCGAAAAATTATAAAATAAAACGTTCCCTTAAAGATTCCAAGTCAAAATGTATGTTGTTAGCTGGGATTTTGACAGTATTATGGTATTACCATCATCCCAGATGTTGATCACATTGTACTGGGCGATTGCCTCATTCATACACAATTGTATTTACACAGAATTGCACGTTACAAGTACACAATTCCTACAGAGGTACAATAACATAATCATCATCATCGTATGCACTTATTGCATTGCATTTACACGGTACGCAACAGAATACAACGGAACGTTTAAAATCCAGAGTAAAAATTCAGACAAACATCTTCAAAATGGTTATTCTATAAACGCAAGGCCACATTTAACGCTGTTCATCACTCGTCATCACTCACCTCTCGTCACACACTTTATATATTGCATATTATATACATTATACGTGATTATAAATGGTATAAAGGAATTAAACTCACATGCGTTTATGTTGCATTCATCTGCTGTGATAATAATGATGTGCTGCGTCACGGAACACGGTCTGTCGCAAAACACACAGGCCCGCTGGTTACCATGACAACTGCCGGATAACTTAAAGGCGCAGGCTCGTTTTTTTGAGTCGCAAAAATATTTTCTGCTTTTTATAGATTTACGACATATTCATCAAAATCCGTTCAAGCTGTTTAATTTAGCATTAGTTACTTGTTCTGAGTCTGAAGTCCCTTGGAATAAATATCATACATTGGTTTAGCTCAAAATCTAGATCACAATACAGTAATTTGATAAGCTGCTTTAAAAAGATAGATTTGATTAAATCAATTGATTGATTGGTTTTTAATAATAATGTTCTGAAAAAGCATGAAACGTTATTTCTCTGAAATGTATCTGTTGGACTTGGACCTTCATCTAAAGTTTTTAAAATGTTCAGAGAACATTCAAAAATATCATTTTCATAACTTAAAGGGAACGTTCTTATGTTTGTTAGCTGGTGTGTGTGTGTGTGTGTGTGTGTGTGTGTGAGAGAGAGAGTGAGTGTGTGTTTGTGTGTGTGTGTTGATCTCATAAAGTTGTTCTGACCTCAGTAAGTTCTGGCGTCTGCAGATTTATGGCTCGACTGTATGATATTATCCTGCATATTTGTCAGATGGAGCGACTGATAAATCATAAAGAGAGGCGCTTTTTAAAAGAGTTTATTATGATGGTTAATGGGCGCCCGGTCACTTTGTGCAAGATTTAAAGACATTTTATGCAAAATCTGAAAAACAAACCTTATAATACTTAATCAAACACGCATAAAGCCGTCGGCAGGGATAAATACATTCTCTCGATTAACTTGCTTTAAGAGATTGTGATTGCTTTCACTAATTGAATCAACAGTGTCATCGTGTCCGAGTCACCGAGAGAGTCATGTCTGTGTCAATGTGTGTGTGTGTGTGTGAATGGTGTTTTAGTTAAATGCCTGAAATAAAGATTGTGTTAAAAACAATTTCAAGATATTTTTATAATACATAAAATTTATTAGTAATTGTGATTTTTAAAAGCTTTTCCTCATCTTGAAAAAGGTGTTTGCTAACGTGTATCTAATATAGAGTGCCAAAGTTATGACGTCACTCTGTAGGCCAAAACGCGGCGGAAGTGAGTTAGCATTAGTTCCTAATTTTCACTCTTGGGTGAACTGTCCCTTTAATGATGGTGACGGTGAAGTCATGTGACTGAATAGTAGTTACGTCTCACATTTTACTTCTGATGACTGTATTTAGTCTTTAGAGGTTGTGTTTATTTGTGAAGATTAGTGTGATGAATTTATAGCCTATACATTTCTAGCTTGAATTCCAGCAGCTTAATTTCAGCAATGTGGTGCAGCTTCTGTCCACCAGATGGCGCTCTACTCCTGCTATTAAACACATTAAACACAAGGTCAGATCATCAAACATCTCAAGGTCTGCGTCTCTCTCTCTCTCTCTCTCTCTCTCTCTCTCTCTCACACACACACACACACACACACACACACACACAATTGCACTTTAAGAGATTTTACGAGTATTTTGTCTTGTTTTCCAGCGCAAGTATATCAAAACATTATTAAATCAAGATGCATTAAAAAGCAAAATATATTAAATCTTGTTTTCTAAAAAAAAAGCACAAACTCACTTCATTTTGCTGCATTTTTTTTTTCATCTTCACTTCTGCTTCTCCAGATCTTGATTTAATAGGCTAATGTTTAGATTTATTTGTGCTGGAAAACGAAACAGAAACTCTGAGGAAGAAACACTTCTTCTCACTTCTGGAATCCACTTTATCTTAAATATGTGATATTGATCATATCGTACACTATTGTGAAAGATGGGATCAAGAAAACAGTCATTTAAAGCATTTCTTTTTAAAATAGACATTTTTTCAACTATAACAATAATAAACTCCTCACATTTTGTGTTAAATTTCCCTGATATTTCCATTAACACACACTCTCTAAAATCCTCATTTCCACCAGCGAGATTAAAGCGGTAAAATGTCAAAATCCTCTTAGCAACCCAAAGTACTGAAGGTTGATCAATTAATTCATTAACTAAGTAGAAGTTCAATCCAGCAGCGGAGACAGACGGAATCAATTAGCAGAGGCTAATCACAACAAAGGGGACTTTAATTAAAGAAGTTTAATTAAAGCATTTCCAGTGTAAAATGAAGGAGCGCTTAAAATATTCTGGAGGAAAAGACACACATGCACAGGAAATTAAAACAGGAACATTCTGAATAACACACACACACTGTCCGTGAAATAACAGAACGGCTGCTTTTAAAACATATAAAATACTGAAACATTTTGAGAGTTCTGAGAACTTGAAGCATGAGCCGTTCTTGTGGAAAGAGTTGCATGAAGTTTCTCGGGTTCAGAACGAGTAAATGACGACATTGTTTTGTAACTGTTCTTTAAGCGGACGATGACTGGTTGAGTTCCTTGTGTGTTTCGCACGAATCGTAAATCCCCAAAATCATCGTCAGTATGGGCCTATCTGCAAATATTGATAGTGTTTTATTCAGTCTTTAAACGAACTCATTCTGTGAGTCACAAGTTCACTGGATTCTGCATATGAGCATATTTCTGCATTAATATACATGCAGTGATTTAGAGGGTGAGGACACGCATTTGGCTGCAGTCCTGAAGAGCCTCGCATCAACACCGCGTGATTTACATCGAGGAACAGATGGCTCACAAACCAGAGTGTGCAAAAGATGTGCAGTTTATTCATCATAAGTGACACCGCGCAAGAGTTTAGATCTGCATGCAAATGAGACGCGTGCAATGCACAACTCTGCGTGAGAATCCAGCGTGAACGACTGAAGACACCGAAATATATCGAGCAGATCGCAGAAATATATAAAAGTATATTAATAGGGTTAGGTCTATCAGCTGACAAAAAACAAAGAAAAATTAGGGCTGTGCAAAAATTAATTGCGATTAATCGCATCCAAAATAAAAGTCTGCATTTACATAATATATTTGTGTGTGCTGTAGCCTACATAATTATTTTGTCTATATAAATACCTATGCATGCATGTATATAATTAAGAATTATTTGCACTTAAATTCTGTATATATATATAGATATAAATACATAATCTATATTCTAAAAATATTTTATATATGAATAACACATTTTCTTAAATATATACATGCATGTGTGTGTATTTATATATACAAAATAATTATATACAGCACACACAAATATATTATGTAAACACAGACTTTTATTTTGGATGCCATTAATCGCAATTAATTTTTGCACAGCCCTAATAAAAATACCAACTTTATTCAACTCTTCATGTTCTTCTCTGTGGGCCTGAGTTGAATAAAGTTGTTATTTTTGTTTGTTTTTTTGCGCACAGAAAGTGGGCTATTCTCGTCCCTTGATAAACTTAAAGTCCCCGTGAACCGGAAGTTGCAAACGATTTTTCTCCAATGCTGTGACGTATTTCCAAGTGAAACGGAATATTGAACAGAGGGCAGGGTTTTACTCTAGCGCTCCTCCTCTCCATCTCTCGCTCATAGCAAACTAACGGTTTGAGGGGAGTGGTTAAGCGTTTCCCCACCCAAACTGTGAAACCTACGTCATCAGAAAAAGAAACCGTTCCAGACCGGAAGTAACTTTTCAGATTTTGATTAAAGATTACCAAGGTAAAACATTTTTTTCATATATTATTTACTTGCACGGATTAATTGTTCACCACAAGACTAGTAATATGCGCTAACAAAGTAAATAGGTTCAATTTTGATTTCACGGGGACTTTAAGGGTTGAGCCGCTGTAGTCACTCGTGTTTAATAAATTTTTGAGCCGGCAAGTTTCAATCCCTTCACACTACATGATTCTATGCCCGATTTGCAAATCGTTGAGCTCGCGACAGGTCAGGGTGTTATCACGTGCAAATCACGGGGGGTTAGCGAGCGATTAACGCTCGCCGATCTATTAGTATCAACGGATCAAAGACGCTCGCAGACGCGTTGCTAAGCCCAGAAAAATATCTCGCATGCTAGATATCCAGAGCTGTCGCACGACTCAACCACAGTGATGTCATGAGCTACAGCCAATCAGAGCAAGGCATGCGTTGAGGTCACAGAATAAATCTTATTTTTTATTTTTTGCGTTTTTTTAGAGCAAATCATCAGTTTACAGCACTAGTTTCTGTCTGATGTTCATATTCGCGTGTTGTGTTCTTCGTCGGGTATTGGCGCGCGTGCTGTTTCGTGTGACAAAATGTGGTTTGTAGATAAGATAGAATCGTTGGGTAACAGAGTTGTCGTCAGCTCGTGTAGTGCGTTACCTCCTGTAGTGGATCAGTCACGTTGTGTCGTGTGTGTGAACAGCTCAACAACTTGAACACTCCTGATTTCACAGAGAGGGGATATATGGGGATATTTATTATATTATTAAATATTAAATGATTACAAATTATTATTATTATAAATATATAAATTAAATAAAGTTACACTACTCTGGTTTACACTAGTAAGGTTTACACTAAACCTAAACTTCAGTAGAGAACCATTCTTTGTAAGGAAGGAGGGGTTTCTTTATTGTACATTTATTTCCATGTAGGCTATGTATGGTTTGCGCTGCGCTGTTTCAATTGGTCAGCGCAGCGCTAGTGAGGATTGTTCGCGCCGCACTGACCATTGAATGTCGCTAGGAAACATGTCCGCACTGCGCTGACGAATCGGCCGCTCAGCTCGGACCAATGAAACGCACAGATGACATGTCAGCGCGGCACGAGGGCTGTAAAGCCCCGCTGTCTCGTCCCACTTTTGGTTTGTTTGGCTTCCCATATCTCTGCTGTGCACGCGCCGCGCGCTATGTATGTTATGCGCGCAGTATCTCCCTCTAGATTCCGGGAGATTTTAGCTCATTTGCGGGCATCAGGAGACGCTATCAATATGCGGGAGACTTGGGATGTCTGCGATAAGCTCCAGCTGCAACAACATGCTCTCTCTTTCGCTCGCGTTGCACGGAACCAAAACATACTAGCAAAGACATTCGCGAACCCCCCCCTAGCACGACGTCGTAGTAGTGACGACGTAGCTGCGCTGTGGAGTTGAAGCGGAAGCATAATGAGGCCTTAAAAAGTCATTTTCTGCCTTTTATCGGCCAAGAAAGACCCAAATTAGAAATTGATGATACTATTCTACAATATACATGACCCACTTTCAATACATGTTCACGTCTCTACAGGTGGAATTAAAAACCGCGATCAGTGCATCTGATCAGCAAAATACTCCAATAACGGCAACTCAATGGTCGACGGTGAACACACTATCATCCGCAGATTCTGTGTTTCTGAAGGAGCACGGCGGCACACGGTGTGACAGATACAGAACCGGCTGGATGCTGCTGCTGATGTCCATGAAGCCGAAGGCGATGTTGTGGATGTAACAGCGGAAGACGTCCGGAGAGAAATAATCTTGAAACGGAAAGAGAGCCACCGGCGGGAAGTAGTTAAACACAATGATGGCCAAGATGACGATGACCATTTTAAAGGCCTTTTTCTTGACGGGATGCCTCTCGTCTCGGCCTGGAGCCGACCGCCTGAGGGCCCTGAGAATGGAGATGTTACAGAACAGCATGAACGCAAACGCCGTCACTATCATGGCGGTGAAGGCTTTGTCGAAGGTAGGGATGTTTCCTGTGCACTTCGCTGAGGCGTAGACTAAAGTGACGACCCACACGACGCCGACGCATACCGAGCGATGCCGCTTGTCTTTGAGTTTGGTGAAGGTGATGGGATGGCAGACGGCCATGTATCGGTCCAGACAGATGCAGGACAAGAAGAGCGGCGACGAGTCTTTCACGCCATAGAAGAAGCGCAGGACGAACCAGATGCTGCTGTCGTTCAGGTACACGATGTTGGCCAGTTCCAGCGGAGGAATGAGGCAGAAGAAAGTGTCCAGCACGGCCAGATGCATGATGAAGATGTCTGAGGTGGACGAGTCTCCCTTATTCTTACGGATGAGCCACAGAACCATGATGTTGGCCGGGATGCCCAGGAACATGTTGATGAACTGCAGCACCAGGTAGAAGATGAGGACGCTGGGCATGTGTGCGCATCCGGCGTAGACGGTCTGCTCGACCGGAGAGGCGTTCAGCGGCCGGTGACTGATGAGCAGAGAGGAGTTGATGAATCTGAATAACTCTGTGATTGCCATCGTCCTCTCTGTGTGCTCGGACCAACCCCTGAAACACACAAACGGTGGTCAAATTTACAACCAAACTCTTCTGCTCCTCATTCAAACGGCACTGAAACAGCTTTGACTTTCCCAGACAGCAACATAGTGTCGGCCCAGATCCGGCCCACATCTGGGAATCCATGATATGCAACAGATGTGGGCTGGATCTGGGCCGACACAACACTATATTGAGTTTTGGGACGCCTGCATGTACATGCACTCGAACGTTAATGACATGCCATTCTTAATCCGTAGGGTTTAAAGGGATGGTTCACTAGCTTCGTCATACTCAAATTCGTGTCGGAATATGAGTCTGAAACCGCTCCGTTGGGCTTTGATTATGAGGCGTGTCTTAACCGAACCAGGAAAAAAAACTTTGCACTCAATTGGATAGTTGGTAAACCTACAACCAATCGGAGCAACGCAGTAAGTCAACTACTTTACATACAGTTGTCAACTACAGAACTTACTTATTTTAGAAGTTAAATAACGAGTGTTGCTTCTTTTACTTGATCCTTCATGAGTGCGACCAAAGGAGAAACCACAACGACCACAGGCTTTTCATTACGTCCATCTTCTTAGCGACCATCAGAGCCAGCTGATAAGTTACACTTTTGCCGAATCATGTAGGAAGGACGGCAAAAATATCTTTCCGATCGACAAATGCCTTGATTGCAGTTTTCTGATCGTCTATTAAAATGAATGCACTGTCGATTTATTTCACAACAGACGCGACAGCGGAATCTATTCATCTCAATTCTCCAGCTCCAGTCATCTCTGAGGGAAACCAGTTAGCGCTCTTTGATATCGTGATGATTACGTCCTTGCAGAACACCCTTCCATCATCGTATAAAGCCCGCCCTGGCAATTTGATTGGCCCGAACGTTTTTTGCCTGATCATAATTACTCCTCAATGGATCGAGTCCAGACCGAACTTCCCGACCAAAAAATGTTGTGGGCGGAGTTCGGGCTGGCATCCAGGCTAACAGTTCACGTAAAGATGAAAACTCTGTCAGTAATTACTCGCCCCTTAAGACTTTCGTTCATCTTCGGAACACAAATTAAGATATTTGTGATTAGATCTGAGAGCTGGATCACTCCTGGATCCGAAAACCCGAGGTCCGACCCGAGACCCGAGCGGGTTCGGGTCCAAAACTCCGACGAGTGTCTCAGACACGGGTCGGGTTCGGTATTGGTGGCCTCGGGTCTCGGGTAACTTAAAATAAATATGCCTTTTCCAAATGGATCCGAGAAGACCCCAAATTATTTTAAACAATGTTGGGCATTTAACAAAATTGCAGCATTTAAAACAACTCTATGACCGTTCGGACTTTTTTTTAAGTGAGAGAGCGAATCCGCGCTTTTACGTGCAATGGGATATAAGCATAAGCACGATTGCCTCTGCATTTATTGTTATTTACTCAGTTGCTCGCTCCACTAACCAACCCCTCCGTTTGCAAAGAAGAACTAGTGCGCCATCATGTGGAGGGATGTTTGACTACATGCAAGTATTTGAATTGTCATTTAGCCAGGCCTGTCAATCAATTTTAATAATACGCGACACTGTCAGACAAGCATAGAGACGCTAAAACAGATATTGCGAAAAAGGTGAGGGAAAACGAATATGTAGAACAGAAATATCCAAGGTCATCCTTACCAACAATGATTTGTGATCATTGTTGATAAGGAAGGAAAAAAGACGTGCAGTTAAATGTGTTGATGCAATAACGTTACCATATTAAGATTTGAATTAAGAACGTCCAATTTGACTGCTATTGTGGTTCTAATGCCCTGTTTTAATCGCATTTTATCTAAACAACTTTGCAACAACGGGATTGTAGGCTAAATAACACAATTTTAGTAAAAGTCAATGACTGGTAGAATTTGAATGAAAATCTGTAGCCTATTTTAAAAACAGCCATCGGTAAATTCTAATCATCGTGGTCCGGTAAATAACATTATGCCAAATGTTATAGGACTTAAAGGGTTACAGTGATGTGTGATTGACATTTTAGCACTCAGCGTGCACTTGCGCGTCCATGTTAAACGCATTTTTGAGAAACGCAGGGCTGTAAATGCCGTTTACGTTCGGGTCCAGTCGGGTTCTAAAGGAAATGGCGTCAGGTCGGGTCGGACTCGGGTCTAATTTTATCGGGTCTGTCTTTTTTAGGACCCGAGAAGACCTCTACTTCTAAGGGATTGAAACTCGCTGGCCCAGAAAGTTATTAAAGACATGGTTAAAATGGCTCAGCCTTATCAACTTCAAACCCACCTGTCATCTAACAACCAACCACCGTGAATGTTTTCAATCCACTTTCCGCACCCTCCACAGCACTTCTCAGGGTTGTCAATGATCTCCTTATGGCCACTGACTCCGGCTCCACTAGTATTCTAGATATTTCCTCTGCTTTCGACACAATCTCTCACAGTATTCTCATCTCACGACTCTCTGCTATTGATGTTTGTGGAACTGCTCTTTCTTGGTTCACCTATTACCTGATCGCCAGCATTACATCTCTACATGCCTCGGTGTTCCCCAGGGTTCTGTTCTCGGGCCTCTTCTCTTCATTATCTACATGCTCCCATTTGGTAATATCATGCGTCATCATGGCTATAAATTCCACTGCTAACGTACACATCCATTCACAATGCTATTCTCCTTTTCCTACAGATTCCATATCAGCATGTATTGATGATTTAAATGCTTGGATGAGCAGTAATTTTCTCAAACTCAACACTGATAAAACAGATGTACTTCTTATTGGCTCAGTTTTTGTGTTGACAATGTTCATATTGCTTGAGTTTCGGTTCAACCTCTTCCACTGCTGTCAAAAACCTTGGTATAATCTTTGATTCTGATTCCTATTGCGTACAACAAGTCTCACTGAATATGAATTGAATTAAACCAGCCGTTACATTTATGAAGTTCCCGTCAGGGGAGCAACCTTTCAGTAGTGTCATCATTATTATCATCATCATCATCATCTCATACCTGTCTGACGTTCCTCCAATCTCCAGCCGCAGTGTGAAGTTCATAGAGGGACCGACGGCTCATTTTAAGCTGACGACACCGGCGGAGAGAAACGTTCCTGAGGGCAAACCAGTATGGAAATGTGTCGTCTGAACGGTTCTCTTACAGAAGAATATTTGCATATGGTGAGGCTTATGGACCAGATATCATGCTAACATATGAACAGGCTTTGTGAAGAACACGTTTACGGATGGTGGGATTGGTTCAGAAGACGTGTAGAAGCAAGTCCTCATCATTAACACCATAGAATTTGGAAATGTTGATCAATTGTTCTACTTTATTTTATTTTTAATATTTGTTTTTTATGACGATTGGAAATGCTTTGGCAGTACATTGAAACAATTGTCATGCCAATAAAGAACATTTGAATTGGATTGGAAATTGAGAGAGAGAGAGGTAGAGAGAGAGAGAGAGAGAGAGAGAGAGAGGTCAGTGCTAATGAGGAGCATGTTAAAGTCCGGCTGTGTTAGACCCGTGTGTGAGGTACGGCTCTATCCACCATTAGCCTTATTGGCCGCAGAGGTCAACAGGGGTCAAATGCCGTGTCGATCGGTTGACCCAACCTATCGGCTGCTCCTTCAGCTGAGTTATGATCGTGCCAGAAAAATCATTTCACTTGTGGTGATTTACAGACATTGAGCCACTGGAAACATTTGAAATGCATGCAGATTTATGTGGGTATTAATTCACAGTATTCAGATATAGCGAATATCGATACCTTTATCGGAACAATGAATATATTCATCGCCTATTTACCGTCTTTCTGAAAGCTGCGGTCATCATTCACACGGCACTACACATTCAGAGGAACACATTTGCATGCAAAAATATTGCAAATGCATTAAACAATAACTGTGTTTGGTGCGAAACGAAGCTGGACGTATCGCATGCAGCGTGCTCATAGAAAGTGCTGTGGTCATTCATTAATGTTAATGTCCAGAACCTAAATGTGTGGTGAACCACAGCTTGGCCTAAATAAATTGAGATAAAAGCATCAGTTTCCACGCTGGTGCTCAGTGACTCGATCCATCACAGAGGCATGGGATACATCTTTATCAGCGCCCATTAAAGATACAGCGGGTACAAACGGATCCCAGCTTGCTTACCACTCTTCCTTTAACCTGTCCAAAACACATCTCCGATATCCCCGTGAAAGAAATACCATGAGCTCAGAGGTCAGGGGTTAAGGAGTGCGAGGCGGTGACCTAACCCATTACATCAAGCTCTCGCCAGCCATTGGTTCAGGGCTTCGGTTACGATACTGCGACTGATCTGACAAAACACAGCTGGGCCGTGAACCAAAAGACGTGCATGCAAATGTGCAGAAACAGGGTGCGGATTGTGTCCCATTATCATTTTTATTGCATGCATTCAGCTGTGGCTTTTATTCAAACACTGGCATGTAATAGTACTTTATTTTACAGTGTACTTGTTACATTTGTATGTACTTACAATAATAATAACAGTAAATTATGCATAATTACATGCAACTAACCCAGAACCAAACCCTAATCCTATAGGTTAATTAATATTACTCAGTACTTAAATGTAATTGTAACTTTGATACCTTAAAATAAAGTATAACCCACTTTACAATTAGGAGCCTCCATTAATGCATTTACTAACAATGTTACAGTGTCGTTGTTACATGTATTTACTATAATAAGTATGAATTATGGATGCAACTAACCCTAATCCTAACCCTGTAGTTATTTAACACTCAGTACCTAAATGTATAATTATTGTGTAACAAAGACATCTTAAAATAAAGTGTAATGCAATGAGCAATGCACTTGTTACAGTGTTTTTTAATAATAAAACAAAACAAAAAAGGCTTTATAATGCTTCTTCTGCTTGGGTTAATTTACAAAATATCTTAAAGTTGACTATACTTGCATCACTAAATGAGTTTAAGTAAATTTTAACACATTATGTGTTTTATCCTTTGGTAAATTGCTGTTTTGGTCCTT